CACCATGTGCTTCCATTTTAATGGAGATTCGAATCTGTCGAAAAGGGGTCTCGTACCTGAAAAATTTGCGTGAAATTTATGAAAATGATATAGTATTTTTTGCGTGTAGCGGATTCTTTTGGGCAGGGGAATTCGTACTTGGTATTTTGGTGTAGATGTAAGTAATACCAGTAAGTGGCACTATTTGGTGCTTATATTAAGTGTATGACATCTAATGGTAAAAATTGAGGTCATCTGGAATTATCCGGCATTTATTGACAGTGTTTGTAATTCACAAAATTTCATGGGATTTTTGGATTATTTTTATATTTAGTTCAATTGGCCTTTAATAATGATAATAATAAATTTAATAGTACATATGCAGCTTTCCATATGCAGCGTGCACGATATACGAGGGGTCGTTTTTATAAACCAATCCAAAAGACTAGAGCAACAACAAAATTTTCTTCTCCGCTTTTGAATACAGGTATAAACCGTTTCAAATAAAAATATACTTTCGGTTTTTCCGAAAAATGGCCCTTAATAGGTGCTATAAGTTCGTCATTGTCCCTAAATTTGGTCTCCCCTTAGTGTTTTTTTGAACTTCGGGAACAGAAAATAGCTACTGGTTGCTAGATCTTGACTATAAGCCGGATGTTCAGTTTTTTCGAAGCTACAATTAGCTACAGCAGCTTTTGAGAGTAAAATTACGAAAACAGCTTAATGAAAAAGTTCATCTAAATTGAAAACAGCCCAGTCCGGGAATATAAAAACGACCCCTCGAACATCAATTGGATTAATGCATAAAAAGAAACACTTTTTCAGTTAAAAATTAAGTTTAACTGTACAGAAACTTTAGGTTGGGACTTAATAAACCCAAATTCTTACTTGAAAATTTATTATAATTACTTTCGAAACACAAATTCTAATATGCCACCATTTAAGTGAATTACGATTTCAAAAACCTACTGAAGATCATCAAAACTGATATGCGAACATCGCATCGTTATTCGATCCCTAGAAATAATGTTCTCCCGTATTTGAATGGTGCCATTATAAAGTCAAAACTTGTCAATATTTCATGGTAGTAAAATTCGTTTCAGCTATACGCCGGAGCTCAATGGTTACAACTCAATATGTCTCGTAAATTATTATGGAAATTTGTTATGAAGTATCTATTTACAAGAGTTTTTATTAGGTGTCGTATATTTTAATCATTCAAATTAAGGTGTTACAAGTTTTGAGACGAGTTCTCGTCCTTTTGTTTGTTTTCTCTCTCCCTCTCGATTTTTTCCTTCCACTCGTTACAAATTCAAAAATATAAATCGCCCGCATAAAATTAACGAATTCCAAAATGGAAAGCTCGTTATACATTTTTCATCGGTTATGGCCGACCTTGTCTATAAATGTCATTAATTTATTTATAATCTAGTAATGCAAAAGGAGGAATATAAATTTGTTTATTGGTTCGTATAAATAACGTTACTAATCACTCGGTGCGATCGGGTGCCATTTTTCAAAATACTAATTTTAGGCGTTAACTCAATATATAGCTCCGGGACCATAACAATTATTTAAGGTCACAGCTTAATTGCTTGTTACAATTTACACCATTAGTACTAATTAATTAAAAAATCTCGGCGCATGATTAATGATGGGTATAGGTATTTCACATTAATTAAACCTTGCGAAATTGATCAATATTACAACTAAACTGTTATTGGTTTAATTTTGTTGAGATTCTTCAGTTGGTGGTGACTAATTGGACGCAGGCAGTTAGGTAGTATATGGAAAACTAATTAGACGGACATGCAAACTTTGTGTTTTGACTAATTGTAACCTTACTAGCAGGTTTTATGTAAAGAGATCGTATCGTGCAAAAGTCACTGCGGCAGTAAGGGTCCCTGGTTCGAATCCTGGTTTGGGCAGATATTTTGTAAATGTATAGTGGGTTGGGTTAGTAGAGTAGCCTTGGATGAAACCCCGCCTACTCAAAAATAAAGGCCTAAAATAAATAAATAAATAAATTATCACAATGAGACAATCTTCCTGTATATATGCGGGAGGGGGGGGGGGCTATTACATACCCCACGAAACCCTCCGGTGTTAGGAGGAATGAGCCAATACCGAGGGTACGGGAGGGGTGTCAGTAAAGGGAAAATTCAATTACCCTTTCGCTACAATCATCATTATCAACATAAGACAATCTTCCTGTGTATGTTGGCGGGTATCCGATACACCCCCTCCCCCACTACCGGTGTTACGTTCGATAGTGCCTTATCGAAAACCCGAATGAGAGTGGTCAGACGGACGGATTTGGGGGAAGATGCAATACCGGGGGTAAAATGGTAAATTCAATATCCGTTTCTCTGCAATCATCATTATCACCATGAGACAATCTTCCTATATATACAGGGTGTTAATCAATTCAGTGCCGATAATACAGGGTGAAAATCCTCGGGTGATTTTAAGGAGAAAAGTTTATATCAATATATGTCCTAAACCTTTTAGTTTTTGAGTTAAAACTTTAAGAAAAAAGTGACTTTTTTATCAAAATTTTTGATCACTCTTACATATTTTTATAAAATTTTGTACACACTTTTTCATCATTAGGTATGGAGCCTTTTTTGACGGTAAAAGATTTTTTTACCAGTGACGTCCGTACGGGGTTTTGAACTGACCATTTTATTTATTAAGTTTTGGTCATATGTTGATTTAAACTTTTCTCCTTAAAATCACCCCAGGGATTCACACCCTGTATTATCGGCACCCAATTAATTAACACCCTGCATATATATGCTGCACCCCCCCTCCAAATCCCCCGGTCTTACGCTCGACAGCGTCTTACCGAAAACGGGAGTGGTCGGACAGATGGATTTGGAGGATGAGACAACACCGGGGGGTCTGGGGGGTAAGGAATACACTCCAGTACAAGGTAAAATCAATTACCCTTTCTCCACAATCATCATTATCACCATGGGATCATCTTCCTGGGGGTATTCCATACTTCCCGGCCCCCCGGTGTTATGTTTTATAGCGTCTTAGCGAAAACCGAAATGAGAGTGGTCAATCAGAAAGTTTTGGGGGAAGATGCAACACGCGGGGGTGGCAAATCCAATGACTTTTTCTGCACAATTCTCATTATCAACATGATCCCTTATATTTTATGCTAGGGGGTATGGATACCTCCCGGAGCACCCGGTGTTCATACCGAAAACCGGAATGAGAGTGGTCAGAAAGACGGTCTTGGGAGAAGAGGGTTTGGGGGCCTTGGAATACCTTCCCAGTAAAAAGAAAATTCAATGCCCCTTTCTTTACAGTCATCCTTTTCACCATGAGACCATTCGTATACTCCCATCCCATATTGATAAAGTCTTCGTGTACTTTATTCCATCTGACGGTCGGCAACTTTTGGAGAAGTACTGTTAAAGGATCTGCTGTTAATAGTTTTTAAATATCTTTGAACGCTCCTCCTTAAATGCTCTTTATTAAAAGCTTTCAAAGGATTTTTCAAAAGGCTTCATTTTTAGAGAGGGGAGATAATGGAATACGTTTGAAAAATTTTTGCGACTAAACGCACTCAAAACATGTAGAAGATCCTTGGAGTTTTTTGGAAATTTAAAAACTATGGGGCCTTTAAAAGGTTATTGAAGGCTCCAAATGCCTTTAGAAGGCTCGGCTCTTATACATCTTTGAAGACTTTTCGCAGCTCTTAGAGTCTGTTGAGAACCCTTAACTTATTAACTTCTTTTAAGGTTCGTTTCCAAGTACTTTGAAACCTGGATTTCTGAAGGCCTTTTAAGAGCTCTACAAATTTAGAAACCCTTTGTAATCCTTATAGGTCGTAAATAGCCTTGAAAGTTTCTCTAGATATTAAATACTCTTAAAGATTAGGTATTTAAAAGAGTCTTAAGAACCCTACAGATTATGAGGCTCTAAAGTTCACAGAAATACTGTGGTGGCCACTGGAGGTTTTTGGATAGGACCGCGTGATGATTCATAAAAACCGTTAAATAGCTAGATATTTTTGACGTTCTTAAGGTCTATTAAAGCTTCCAATAATAAAGGGTCTAAATGTTGTAATGTTTCAAAACGGATTTCCTCGTTGACTCTTGAAGCCTTTATATGGCTCTTAGCGGCACTTGACAGTTTTTGAAGACTTTTCAAGGCCAGTAAACGCTTGTGTCTTTGAAGTCTTAGAAGGCATGAAGAAAACCCTTCAAGGTCTTTATTAGTTGTAACATATTCATATCTATTAAAATGCTAGCCGTCGTCGTAGTCGCTCGTCTAATCGCTTTAGCTACAATGCGTGCGGCCCGAGTTCGATTCCCGGTTGGTGCAGAATTTTTTTAATTTGAATATATTTAGCGTTTCATTGTAGAGTACTAACGTATAAACAAAAGCAGTTAAGGAAACAAGAATTACAACCCTTCCAATGGATTAGTGTTCCGTAAGGGCGGGTTTCCTAAACAATTGATTGTTTTCTATGAAATTTGCGAGCGAGTTGTGCTGTGAACCTTGTAAACACAATTAATCAACAAAATAAAAACATTGGATCCACCACAACCCTTGGAATGGATGACTGTCACGTCAGGGTGAGTAATGGGATTCTCTAAGAAAATGATATAATATGTAAAACTCTCGGGCGACTTCTTACAATTTTTTTAATTCAGCATTAAAACAAACGATACTGCCGGAGGCTTTTAAAAAAGAGTATGACGGGTGGGGATGAGCGAATTGACAAGAAAAATAACCGAATTTGCGCCTCGTTGAATAGCGGTCATAAAGTAATCGAAAAGAATCCTCTCGATAGCGCCACATTCACAGCATTTTTCTCACAGTCGCGAAATTAATCGAAACACGATTGACGGCCTAAGCTTAATTACCCCGTAATAAAATCAAATGGCGCAATAAAATGTACAATATGACATCGTAAACAGGTGAACCGAGTGACATTTATTATTGTAAAATTTAATTAGGTAAGAACCGCAACGCCGCCTCGCCGCACTACTAATCAAAATATTGCGCAAGCCGCAAGAAGTGGAAGAAATTCTTTGTTTCAAAATTTTGCATAAACATCAAAAGTGTCAGTTATGTAAATTTTTAGCGGTTCGTGCGATCGTAATGAGGTTGGGTTATGTTTTAAATTTACGATTTGTAAATTATCAAAAGCTAACGGGGAAAACTTTTACGAAAGTGCTGATGTTTCGTGTTTTTTAATAATTAATAACGTTTTGGATATTTTTGATTGACATAAATTACGTGTAATTATTTGAGTTATAATCTTACGAACGGGAATATTCGGCAACATCAACTTAATAGACATTTATATATGAATTATACATTGGCATCATTTCAGATTTTCACAGGGAAAGTTGTAACCGAGGCCTCAGTGTCTGAAATTTGAAACTGTATTCATTTCGACTTACTCTACGGTTCTTAGTGCCAACGGACAGCCAAATCTACACCATCAATGAGTTACGTTAAGGGAATAGAACCCTAAGTTTCAGTTCCTGAAGATTTTGATTAGAAAGAAATACGCATGGTGATACTGCAAAAAGATTCCTAATATTGATTTGAAACATTTTCGTAGTGGGAGCCTTTACGGAGATTCCTGTTCAATTCTGGGTTGGTGATTATTTGAGTATGAATCGCGAATCAAAGCAAACCGACTTCATGCGATAGGAATACTCGAGATCCGTGATTATGAAGAGGAATAATAAACCAATGTTCCGCTGTGTTGATATTAATATTGCCCCATTTATTAACTAGGTAGATAAATGCGCCGATTAATTGTAATTCGCTGCCGTGTGTCGTTGTATACAAATTTTATTTATGGCGGAATGCGTTATCCAAAGACATAACTCAACTTTGAGGAACCTGGTTTTAACCAGCCGTTACTGTTAGCGAACCCAAAAGCTTCTTTGTGTATCACAATAATGTCAGTTTATGTAATCCAGTTTTTTATTTGAACAGCGCTTCCCCGATTCGAAAATGTTCTCTCGCGTAAATTTTATCGCTCGTAAGTGAACGACCTTGCTAAGGCTGCCAGTCCGTTTTATCTTTCTCCTTATTGCGTGGGTAACTCGTCCTTTACCACATATTCGGCTTCGTTTAAATGTTTTCCAGAAACGCAATCGGAGTGTTTTTTTAACAAGCTACTATAAACAAAAAACTTGCACGAGCAAAGTCGTACGTGCTCACTCTTGTGGTCTGTTTGAAAAAAGTAGGCAAGTGCCTCTGCTGTTCCGAAAAATCTAGAAGAAAAGACTTTTAACAGTAAATGGCTAGAATTTTGAAGACTGGACCACTACATTAAAAGTTACATTTCTTTCCTTTTTGAAGTGATTACTTATTATCGCTCGGTATGGACTATATGTTTTGGACTGGAGTGGAACTTGCAGAAGTTTGGCCTTTGCATTGCAAACTCTTAAAGAGAACCGGCTTTATACAATCCAAAAGTTACAAGTGGTACGGCGCTTCCTTGAAAAAGACTCCCTCCAAGAAAAATTAAAAACTGGATCGCGATGATACAGTTGTGACTTGGTCTCGTACAAAATTGCCTCTTTCAGGATAATGAAGCTTGTATTTACCTCGACCGCGTTCAGAAACTTGCGTCAAATTCTCGAAGACGTAAATACACCAGAATAGAACTGCCAGCTATCCTACACACGCTCATTGTTTCGCTTATTATTTGAGTTTTTTCGTAAGAAAAATGCCACTTTACATACGATTTAAGCGGCCTCAGGTTATTTAACTGCGACCGAGTTTTGTTTATACTAGTACGACTTTTTCGGTATGAGGTTAGCGAACGTACGGGTACATTTGCCCTTCTAGTTTAACTTTATATGGTCGAAATTTGACTATAGTTCTTTAGTTGTAAGGGTGCAGTTAATGTTAATTGTACTGTTGAGTATGGATTGTCACGTTTAAGCACCATGTGTTTAAATCACGTGGTTTTACATAGTCTTGTGCCTCGAGAACTTGAGCTGTTGGATTATGAATTTTGGGTACTGTTAATTTAACTTCTTTTGCAGTCTGTTCGAAGAAAGTAGCCTCCCCTCTCATGTTTGACCAGCTATGTCAGGGATTCAGATGCATAATTGGTACACAGGCGGTTTCTGATCTAGTCTTTGCCACAAGAACTGCGAATCTGATAAGGGATTTTAAACCCACGAATTCTTTGTACGAAGCTCTTATATATGGCAACGAGCATTTCGGTCATTTAAATATTCATTTTAGATATTCCTTACGAAATCGGTAAGTTCGTTGTAGTTTAGATTATTGGGATCCTCACTTCCTAGTTCATTATTCTGTCACTAGAGGTCACACAAAGTATTCAATACTATTGAATTCCTTGTACTAGGTTTTTTTTACTTTTCTTCCGTTTCCGCATTAGGTTGAACATTACGATCTACATCGAATCCCTTTGTGACATACCTACGTCGAATTTGGATTTGGTTGACTTAAGATTGCACATTACAAAGTTACATAACATAATACACAATGATAGACAGGGACGTAGATGTTGCAATTGCGTTTGTAGAAATTATTATACTTTGAAGACTTAGGTATGTTTCCGGTATTTAATTGGAAGCATTATCGATTTGCCTTTTGGAGATTTGCCTCTAAAAATAATAGAAAGTCATCCTAGAAGTCATCGGTCCCGCATCCGTACTGAATGAGATCGAGACGATGGTGAGTGTAACGAATTGGAGTTTCGATTGGAGCTCTTCTATTTGGAAACCAGTATGTCTACAGGATTGCTATGTCCAGGAAGACAGCTTCTTATAACAACTTCGAAAGGCTACTAAACGGTGTTTAAGTTCTTCCAAAAAATGTGCCCCTGCTTTGTTCTTGGATATAGACGCGAAAGTCAATAGTACCATCAGCCGCCGACATGGCGTGCTTGTTAATAACAAGTTTAATGAAACCAAACGTCCACCTTGGTCCTGGGAGCTGTGTACTGGGACTTGTGCAAATGGCAGGGGAGGCTAACGGAAACCGTCAGCTTGTCTAAACAAATGGATGGACAAGGGTAACATATCTGCCTTTAAACGCTCTCTAAGGAATATAAAATTGATACACCAAGTAGGGAAATATGACAGAAATCAAGTTCAACCTTCCTAAATCCGGAAGAATTCGTTTAGTACACAGATAGGCCAATCAACCAGATGAGTAGAACAGCAAAATTTTACCTCTCACAAACTGCTGCTAAGTATAAATAATTTTCCTTCACAAAGCAAAGTGACATCGTACATAAAACTGAAACATTTAAACTATGCACTGTCATAAATATCAGTGATGGAAGTCACGTCCTTTCCCCATAGGGAAGGTCAACCTACCTGTTCATTCTCTTTCGAAGACGAACGACACCCTCGGCCGCAATAATCTCAAAACTCTTACCGTCTCCATTGTACGTATTATGGGTCTCGAGAGAGAGAGCGATCTTTAAAAGCTGACCCCAATCGGAGGGCATTCAAAATCAATTTCGTCAATATTCACCTGTTTAAGTGGCAGTTAAATGCACAAACCGTAAACGGAGCATTAACCTGTAGAAAGAAATATTGATATTATGTCAGGGAGTTTATTGAAAAAGGGACTCGCTGTCCATCTGCTGTTAGCATTGCTAATCGACGTTTGTTTAACTGTACGGAGCATCGCGCGTCGAAAAAAGGAATCAATGAGGCGAATTTGTAGATTAGCGCCTCGTATATGGAAGAGAGTAGTTTTTCTAAGGCGAGCGCTAATTGCAAATTTGAAATTAATAACCTTTCGAGATCAGTCGAGCCTGACATTGTAACAGTTGCGTGCACTTTAGAACCAGGAAGCTTTGTCTTTGCCTTTTACCACAAAACATTGTAAAAACGCAATTCCTTGACCACGATGGCTTTAGAATGGCAGGAGTCGATTCCTAATGTGCACTGAGAAGGCTCGTGCTCGTGCTCGTATATATTGCGGAAAGTTCTGTAAGTGAGCCCGTTAATTATCGCCATAGTTATTTATTACGGAACATTCATTATTTTAATTGAACACATACGGTTTGTTCAATGTTAGTTGTACAAGGAACACTCATTTCAAATTTAGCATGTTTGCAAAGTTTCCATTTTTCCTCGAATGGTCCAAAAATCAAAATCCAGCCCAGACAGAGTCATATACAGGAATTCAAATAACTGCTGCAAACTCTTAAAGAGACCATTGAGGTACTAGAATATAGAATATCTTAAAAATTCTAAAAGTTTATAAGTCGCTTTACTTTAAAATGTTGGCTCTCAAAATCCTTTCAATGCCCTTAGATACCATTAAATCCAGTAAATATTCCTAAAGGCTTTGCAAGAATCGCAAGAACTACCCTTAAAGAATGTGTAAGGTTCGTAAAGTTTCTTAAACGTTCTCGAAATGTTTTAAAACCCTGTTAGAGAATCTAATAGCTACGAAAAGATTGTGGGTACCATTGAATCCTCTTGGGCTAAACATTCGTTGACTCGTTACAGGCACTTAAGAGATCTTAGACGACTTTAAATGAATCACAGAAACAGTTTAAAATGTCAGTGTTATATAAAGATTCTAAAAGCCCCTTGGAGACTCTTGAACTTTTTGGAGGCTTCTAAGACTGCTTTTATTTTTTTTTTGAGGGCACTGAAAGCTCTTGAAGATTCTCATGGATCCATTAGACTCTCTGAAGCTTAAAAAAAAGCTCTTTCACGCTCAGTTCTTAAAGTTAGGAGAGAATTTTTAAATAATCTAACATATTTTGAAGACCTTTGGTGATCCTTTCAGGTATTGGGACGCTCTTGGAATTTAGTACTCTATTTGCTCTTTCGGTCATTACCGCTATTACACATTTCTCAGTAAGGACTTTCTTGACTCTGTATTGTGGATGCCCTCCACGTGGCAGGTGAGAAGCCCGATTTGGGTCAGGTATCCTGGTCTCACCCAAACATTTAACCTACTAGGTATCTTTTCCTAGAGGATATCTGCAAATTCACTCAGATGATCTTTAAGAAAACATCCATAAAGGTATATAAAACTTCTAAAATCCCTTAAAAGTTGCATTAAACATTTTAGAACAAACTATAAGGAAAAGGGAAAGGTTTCAGAATGTATAACACCGAGAGTGAAGTTGTCTCATGCTAAAAATTATGATTAATTAACGATTAAACGTTCCGAAATCCAGAGGCAACTCCACTTTCTCCCCAAAATTGAGTTGATCTTGTGCCTACATTGACTTGTCGCCAATTACACGACGACAAAAAATGTACCAGGCATAAGATAAAACCGAATAAAGTGAATGCACGCATCTGCTCCTCCCAATTTGACACTTTGACAGGGACAAATTAACATAACCGTAAAAGAAGTCAAATCTCCCACAATCTAAACTAGATCTGATTTATACAGAGAAATAAATTTTACAAAAAAAAAAAATTAATTTCGTACGCTCGAACGGTATAATTAAATTCTTTTGAAAACGGCTACTTTTATGGAGTTTTTTTTTATACAGATGCCCGCCGTTTCCTTCATTGTGTCGTCCAATGGCGAGGCACTGCGCAAAGCTGTCTTAAAACTATTAATAGTGTCTTTCCCCATTTTCTTTACGTGTATATTAATAATTTCAATGGTACAAAGTATTAGTGATTTATGGCGGTCATTTATAAAACAGGGGGAGGGTCGAATTTAAACCGGATTCCTTTGCGCGTAGCCACTGTTTTACATAATCGATGGGAACTGTATTAAATTGGCCGAGATAGTATCTTAAATTCTTTGGTGATAGAGAATGTTAAAATTGGATCGAGAAACATTTTCAAAATTTACTTTTTTCCAAGTTTTAAACTTGTTCCATTTTAATTCCCTCTTTTTTACCAAAAAGGTTCACGCAAATTTTTTTCGTCCGAACCTTTCAGCAGTTTCACCTTCGCATTTCAAACGCAATGACACTTTAATTTAATGTATTGACCACGACTCGCATTTTAATCACTTGCTAGTTTTATTTATTTAAATTTTTGCAATTAACATTGCCATTAATCTAAGTAAGATACGTCCGTATTATCGAAACGAAACAAATTTAATTTGAATTGACACACTGTATTTGGTATTTGAGGCGTTGTGTTACGTCTAACTGTCTAACGTCAACTAAAACTTATTTTACATGAACTTACGTGGTGTTATGTCGATCGGTAGACATTAGCTATGCTTTTTATCATTTCTAACATATTTTTTAGTCAATTTCTTTAAGAAACGAAAATATAAAACTGGATAGATTGTAGAAACTTGGAAGATCTTAAGAGCCATGACAAGCATTAGAGGCTCCAGGAATCAATACGCCAATATATCCATTGTTTGGATTCAATTCTTATCAATAAATACAAAATTTGTCTCAAGTAAGTAATTTTTATGGGTCGATTTCTTTAGGAATATTAAGACTAATCCAAACAACATTTTTTATGCAAATTCCTAACCATCAAGAACGATAGACAGGGATAGTAGGATAGAAACATTCGAAATGTGCTACTATAGAAGGATAATGAGGATTAGCTGGATGAATAGGGTAACAAACGAAGCAGTGAAGATAGGCAAATGTGGAAAACAGTACAAAGAAAACGAGATAGAGCACACGAAGGATTGGATAGATAGCTATAGTACTGGTAGAAATTTTAATTGCTATAGAAGATTTAGTGCTTCATTACTTCCAAACGCCCTAAAATCCTAAAGTTAACGACATTTTAGGGTTTACAAAATACTTAGCTAATCAAGACGAATATTGATGCTGTTCTTCTTCTTCCGTTTTAAGTAAACTTCCAAGTTAACATTTTTGTACTGTACCATTTTTTCCGTTGCCTTTCCATGATTTCACTAACTTGGAAGATCTTAAGAGCCATGACAAGCATTAAAGGCTCCAGGAATCAATACGCCAATATATCCATTGTTTGGATTCAATTCTTATCAATAAATACAAAATTTATCTCATGAGATACTGGGGACATACCAACAGGAGGAACAAAAACCATATCATTCGGGCTGCCAAGATTCTATGTGCCTCGGAATGGAAGGTACGCCGACCCTGCCAAGCATGCAACACCACCATAAACCAAACGGTAGAGGTCTCGGGGATTACCATGGGAAGATGGGAAGAGAATAGCAGAGACAAACATCAAAGGAAGAAAGAAAGCAGAAGAATACTGGAGGTGGAGGAAGAATCAGCCACAAGGACAAGTAGCCGAGGGGAGGAGGAAAAGGGGACAGAAAGTAATGCGGGGAGAGGACAACAATAAAAAGAGCCTAACACGAGGGAAAACAGGGAAGGGAACGAGACCAAAGGATAGGAACATCGGAAGCCAATGAACGCCCGGAGAAGAAGCTGTCACTAGAAAGCAGAGTTCCCTCTAAGGCAGAATACCAGTGGCGAAGCTGTGGCCGTACCCGTTCGGGTCGGATAACACCCAGTTAGCCGCCCCCCCACAACCCCCCCAATCCACAAAATCCACCACATTGTTTGGCATATGTCGCGGCCCAGCGCGATGGCAACAAAGTAGTGGAGAAACGTCCCTGATAGTGTCTACCAGGGACGCATCCTCACGACAGTTGACTAAATCCTGGGAGAGGCGGCGACGCCAGGCATATGTCAAAGTTTCAAGTTTCAAGTTTCAAGCAAGTAATTTTTATGGGTCGATTTCTTTAGGAATATTAAGACTAATCGAAACAAAATTTTTTTATGCAAATTCCTAACCATCAAGAACAATAGACAGGGATAGTAGGATAGAAACATTCGAAATGTGCTACTATAGAAGGATAATGAGGATTAGCTGGATGAATAGGGTAACAAACGAAGCAGTGAAGATAGGCAAATGTGGAAAACAGTACAAAGAAAACGAGATAGAGCACACGAAGGATTGGAAATTTTAATTGCTATAGAAGATTTAATGCTTCATTTTAGGGTTTACAAAATACTTAGCTAATCAAGACGAATATTGATGCTGTTCTTCTTCTTCCGTTTTAAGTAAACTTCCAAGTTAAAATTTTTGTACTGTACCATTTTTTCCGTTACCTTTCCATGATTTCACCATTCAAGTTGACCGGGACCATATTTTACTTTGCCCCCCACAAATTATTTACTTTTTCATTCTTCTTTGTTCCATTTCCTTTTCCTTTGCGGTCATTTCTTTGTGTGATAACTACCGTCGATTTGAGGCGTTCGATTAAAAAAATTTGAATCTTAATCGAGCCAAGAAAAATGTATGAGATTTACAACGCACAGAATCCCATCGCCGTAATCAAAGATGTTTTGTTATATTAAAGAAGCGTGACAAGGCAGTACCTTTTATAAACATCTTCAGAAGCAAGAATATGTGCTGCATCATACACAAAAGGAAATAATAACCTAAAGTTAAAAAGTTCACACTCACCAGCTTTATTATTATTTCCACACCACAAAGTGCCTTTTTTTTATTGGTGAACGTGAATGAAAATCGACTCCAGATAGAAATAACCTAATTTATTGTTCTTTGTCAGGGACGTATTGCGGCTGCATAAATAAATAGTTTATTGTTATTTACGATATATGTAGGTATCTACGTACAGCATTAGATTATCGGATAGGAATGTTTATTATTGTAATGCCGCGAAGGTGGTTTGAAAGGCGAAGGTTGTCTAACGCTGATTATCATTTCAGGTGACACGCCATCGGCCGAACCCTTGGAGAGCAGTCCCCAAAGGACGATTAAGGCGACCCGTAGACGTCGCCTCGATCGCGTTTCCAACACCAGTACAAATGGGATCAGTCCAACGACGCCCTCGCATCCCGCCGATTATCTCATGTACATAAATAATAATCACGTAAAGAATGAAAGACTGAGCCCGGGTACACCAGACACGTCGTCAAGATCAAGATCGGTGACCCCATCATCCGCGTCACATCCCGATACACCACCCGCGACGGATCAGTCGGCCATCATGCCCCACGTGAGGAATTACAGCGATATGATGCGAAATTTAGCGGCGAAGTACAACCATACGAACCCAAACGAGTAAGTGCCCAAAGCTCTTTGATAACCACCCCCAAATGGCAATTTCCGACAGGTACTTCAGCGCGGCGAGGAACGGCTTTCCACCTCCTTTCGACCCACGCTTCAAGCTGGGAAACTTCCCAAACCTCCTATCAGTTCCAAATAACAAAGAAACCAAAAAGCCCGACTTCTCCTCACTCCTCGGCCAGTTCACGCCGCACTCGGCCCTACCCCTCATCGACATGTCGACGACGCAGGCCCTACTGCACATGGCCCGCACGGCGAAGGAGGCCGAAGATCAGAGGCTGCTGAAGACGATCAAGAGGCAGGATCCGTCCTCGCCGCTCGATCTGTCCGCCGGCGCCGTGCCCGTGAAGAGGCCGAGGACGAAAACGCCGTCGTCGGGCAGTTTGAGTGGCGGCAACGTCGTTATAAAGAGGGACGAATCGGAAAGTCCGAGCCTGCAGGAGGACGTCTCGAGTTGGAGCGTCGACGATGTCTGCAATTTTGTTTCGGGGATAGACATCTGTGCGGAATATACTAAGGTAAGTCGTGCATAAATTTGGGAAAGCTAAAGGGTTAACAATCCTTAAACCCTATTTTTAGTTCTCTATATTATGACCATTATAATTTTGGAAAAAATTTCACTTGCGACTTGCAACTATAGATTTTTGATTTTCTCTCGGAGCTTGGAACCTGCACGTGCAAATATTTTTGTTGAAACCAGAGGAAGCCTACACTTTAAAATTTCAATACAAACATGACCTCTTAATGAAAGGATTTCGATCTTTCTACGATCACTGGAAATTTTTGTTGTTGCACTTTGTCAAAATTTCAGGATAAACACGTACCTTTGTCTTTTCTTCTATTCGTAAGTTCCGTTCTCTCGAAGAGACGGAAGGAAGTACCTCGCCTTGAAATATCTGCAATCTAAGGATTTCACTCATGATGAAATTTGGAGTGCAGAATTGACTTTTAACTTCAAATTTGGGTTTTTATTTGAAATACGGACCTGCAACAATTTTTTACGGCCTTGATATTGTTCTCATCTGCAATCTAAAGGTTTCTTGATGAAATTTGGAGTTCAGAATGGACTTTCAGCTTCAAATTTCGGTTTTTGTGTGAAATACGGACCTGCAACAATTGTTGACGGGCTTGATATGGTTCATATTTGCAATCTAAAGGTTTCATGATGAAACTTGGAGTGCAGAATTGACTTTCAACTTCAAATTTCGGATTTTGTTTAAAATACAGGCCTGGATCATCTATTTAGGGCCTTGATATGGTTTATATTAGCAATCTAAAGGTTTACTGATGAAATTTGGAGTGCGGAATTGACTTTCAACTTCAAATTTGGGATTTTGTTTAAAATACGGGCCTCGATCATTTATTTACGGCCTTGATATGGTTCATATTTGCAATCTAAAGGTTTCATGATGAAATTTGGAGTGCGGAATTTACTTTCAACTTCAAATTTGGGCGTTTGTTTAAAATACGGGCCTGGATCATTTATTTACTGCCTTGATATGGTTCATATTTGCAATCTAAAGCTTTCATGATGAAATTTGGAGTTCAGAATGGACTTTCAGCTTCAAATTTCGGGTTTTGTGTGAAATACGGACCTGCAACAATTGTTGACGGCCTTGATATGGTTCATATTGGCAATCTAAAGGTTTCACGATGAAATTTGGAGTGCGGAATTTACTTTCAACTTCAAATTTGAGCGTTTGTTTAAAGTACGGGCCTGGATCATTTATTTACTTCCTTGATATGGTTCAGATTTGCAATCTAAAGGTTTCATGATGAAATTTGGAGTGCGGAATTTTCTTTCACTTGAAATTTGAACGTCTGTTTTAAATTCGGGCCTGGATCATTTATTTACTGCCTTGATATGGTTCATATTTGCAATCTAAAGCTTTCATGATGAAATTTGGAGTTCAGAATGGACTTTCAGCTTCAAATTTCGGGTTTTGTTTGAAATACGGACCTGCAACAATTGTTGACGGCCTTGATATGGTTCATATTTGCAATCTAAAGGTTTCATGATGAAATTTGGAGTGCGGAATTTACTTTCAACTTCAAATTTGGAGCGGAATTTGATTTAAGAATACGGGCCTGGATCATTTATTTACTGCCTTGATATGGTTCATATTTGCAATCTAAAGCTTTCATGATGTAATTTGGAGTTCAGAATCGGACTTTCAGCTTCAAATTTCGGGTTTTGTTTGAAATACGGACCTGCAACAATTGTTGACGGCCTTGATATGGTTCATATTTGCAATCTAAAGGTTTCATGATGAAATTTGCGAGGTTCAGAATGGGAATTTACTTTCAACTTCAAATTTGAGCGTTTGTTTAAAGTACGGGCCTGGATCATTTATTTACTTCCTTGATATGGTTCAGATTTGCAATCTAAAGGTTTCATGATGAAATTTGGAGTGCGGAATTTACTTTCAACTTCAAATTTGAGCGTTTGTTTAAAATACGGGCCTGGATCATTTATTTACTGCCTTGATATGGTTCATATTTGCAATCTAAAGCTTTCATGATGTAATTTGGAGTTCAGAATCGACTTTCAGCTTCAAATTTCGGGTTTTGTTTGAAATACGGACCTGCAACAATTGTTGACGGCCTTGATATGGTTCATATTTGCAATCTAAAGGTTTCATGATGAAATTTGGAGTGCGGAATTTACTTTCAACTTCAAATTTGAGCGTTTGTTTAAAATACGGGCCTAGATCATTTATTTACTGCCTTGATATGGTTCATATTTGCAATCTAAAGGTTTCACGATGAAATTTGGAGTGCGGAATTTACTTTCAACTTCAAATTTGAGCGTTTGTTTAAAGTACGGGCCTGGATCATTTATTTACTTCCTTGATATGGTTCAGATTTGCAATCTAAAGGTTTCATGATGAAATTTGGAGTGCGGAATTTTCTTTCACTTGAAATTTGAACGTCTGTTTTAAATTCGGGCCTGGATCATTTATTTACTGCCTTGATATGGTTCATATTTGCAATCTAAAGCTTTCATGATGAAATTTGGAGTTCAGAATGGACTTTCAGCTTCAAATTTCGGGTTTTGTGTGAAATACGGACCTGCAACAATTGTTGACGGCCTTGATATGGTTCATATTGGCAATCTAAAGGTTTCGTGATGAAATTTGGAGTGCGGAATTTACTTTCAACTTCAAATTTGAGCGTTTGTTTAAAATACGGGCCTGGATCATTTATTTACTGCCTTGATATGGTTCATATTTGCAATCTAAAGCTTTCATGATGTAATTTGGAGTTCAGAATGGACTTTCAGCTTCAAATTTCGGGTTTTGTTTGAAATACGGACCTGCAACAATTGTTGACGGCCTTGATATGGTTCATATTTGCAATCTAAAGGTTTCATGATGAAATTTGGAGTGCGGAATTTACTTTCAACTTCAAATTTGAGAGTTTGTTTAAAATACGGGCCTGGATCATTTATTTACTGCCTTGATATGGTGCATATTTGCAATCTAAAGCTTTCATGATGTAATTTGGAGTTCAGATTGGACTTTCAGCTTCAAATTTCGGGTTTTGTTTGAAATACCGACCTGCAACAATTGTTGACGGCCTTGATATGGTTCATATTTGCAATCTAGAGGTTTCATGATGAAATTTGGAGTGCGGAATTTACTTTCAACTTCAAATTTGAGCGTTTGTTTAAAATACGGGCCTGGATCATTTATTTACTGCCTTGATATGGTTCATATTTGCAATCTAAAGCTTTCATGATGTAATTTGGAGTTCAGAATGGACTTTCAGCTTCAAATTTCGGGTTTTGTTTGAAATACGGACCTGCAACAATTGTTGACGGCCTTGATATGGTTCATATTTGCAATCTAAAGGTTTCATGATGAAATTTGGAGTGCGGAATTTACTTTCACTTGAAATTTGAGCGTTTGTTTAAAATACGGGCCTGGATCATTTATTTACTGCCTTGATATGGTTCATATTTGCAATCCAAAGGTTTCATGATGAAACTTGGGGTGCAGAATTGACTTTCAACTTCAAATTTGGGATTTTGTTTAAAATACGGGCCTCGATCATTTATTTACGGCTTATGGAAGTACATACATCACTCATCTTCACAGCATCCTCTTTTCTCAACAGTGTTGCAGAACCTATCTCTAGGTTCGACAAAATATATTCGGTAATAGATAAAGAATAAATGAAAACCTAAAGAGAAAACTTTTGAGATTAAATGATGCAATATATTGTTGTGTAACCAACGTCAGTAGACGTTATTTCGGTCTAAACCCCAGAAGTAATGACAAGACACCCTGTATGTGACAATAATTAATTAAGTTAGTGTAAATATGGTAGATTATTTGCGAAATAGGCGCAGAGTTGGATGGTTGTATTTGAGTTTGTATCTCAGCGTCTATTTTTCCTTTTAGAATTGTTTGTAATTGTTTAAATGTTATTTATTTATTTGTAAAATTGCGTGTTAAAATGTAGGGAAATCTGGTCGTTTGCGATAAATTGTTTTATTAGGCGAAAATTAATCAATGCACGTGTTTTATCGCTGTTAAAAGATGCAGTTCAGCTCCAAAAGACTGTGCAACTCAAGATTTAAATTCAAAACTTTCCCACACAAACTAACTGATCCCCATGGCACATGATCGTCTAGACAAAGCTATCTAACTTGAATAACGAAATACTAGGACCACTTACTACGTTGTGTTTTAAAGAGTCGCTACTGTCGGAGTAAGGATTAAGTAAGGAATATAAATAAAACCAGTACATGCTTTAAAAAAACGGAAATTTAATCAAATAAATCACATTGCTAGATTAAATTTAGCAGATGGTAGTACAAATAAAAAAAATTGGTTGGGAAAAAAAGAACTGACCAATAAAAAAACCAGCCAAGAAATGAATATTAAACTTTATAGCAAAATTAGTTGTCTGTAATGACATGAATACATATTATGATGGTTATAATAATAATAAGATCTTTATTCTTGAAACTGTGCATCACAGCCATTGAAACGTCATACAGAGTGAAAAAATAACAAACTTATCAACTAAATTAATATAATGTGGAATTATAGACTCCACTGCAATGTCTAAAGAATTAATATTTCACACACATAACATAGAAAAACATCATTAAAACATTATAATAAATTCACATAAGTTTGGATATTGGATGGCCAGGGCAAATCCCACAACGAGTGGTTTTTAGTTGCTCTGGTCATGACATGTAAGGCTTGTATGAAAACGCTAGGAGTTGGCTTCTCAGAAGAGCATTTCACTCGAAGGCCACAACGAGAACACGCCGCGCCGTGCGCTTTTACCAGATCCCTGTCCAAGTGAGGCCGGGCTTAGCCAGCGCCCTCATGTACGACTAAGTGGGACCCCAACTCTTTCATTCACACATCTCTAGGCCAGTCCAACCCACTAGTTATACAGTGCCGGGTTATAAACGATCGAACGCCAGGCTCTCCACCATTCTGCAAGAAATTCAATTGTAAATTAACAATTTATATGTCGATGTTTCCAAATACAG